GCCTTATAAGCCGGCAAATAGGGTATATAATACTGTCCTGATAGAACTAAAGAAATATAATCAAATTTACTTTGCCTTTAATTTCAAGTCTGAACATTTATTAAGTGTATTTATTTGTTACTTTTTTCTATGAAATGAATTTTTTTATTTTATTATAATAGAAAACTTTATATATTTTATATACTTTCCCAAAATAATTTCAATTAGTATATAAGGTTATAAACAGTTAATAATATGTATTAAAAATTACACATTTAACAACTAATAGTAATTGAGGATGTCTATAGGATTTGCATAACTCAAATTTCATAAAACAGTTGAAATTTAAGAATTTTTATATTAGTGCAATAATTATGTACACAGACATGAGAAACGTTTAAATATATGTTTTGTTTACTATTATCATAATACGTACATAAAGTGGAAGAACCCGAAAATCCTACAAATTATTATAAACTGAAAATACAATTTTATATGCTAATCAAATGACATTGCCAGATTTTAATCTAGCTACAATATGGGTAATTAATGTATTGGGTTAAAGATCTGCTGTATATAGAACAAAAGTTTTATAAAGAGCACTTCGATGTTATTTATTGTCAAATTTAAATTATAAGATCAAATCCCCGATAATACCTTTTTTCCCCCATATATATATATATATCATTGTCTACGTTGGACTTAGTATATTAATAGGACTTATTATACTGTTGTTTCAGTTTTTGCAAATAGAGATGATCTTATTCAGAAAAACAAAATCTTTATTTTTTACCTGGTTTTTCACCTGTACTGTACACTCTTTGTTCGTGTTTCGGACCCGATGGCCCCTCTTCAGCAGGTATATATTACAATTCTATAACAAATTTTTATGAAACTTATATTTAACTTGTAAAAAATTAATCAAAAAAGATACAATCTGACCAAAAATATTTTTGGACAGACTGTGTCTTTTTTGATTAACTTAAAATTATCATCCGGCGAAATTCTACAAATTATAAAAACTATAACAAGATTTTACCCGACAATTTTAAGACTTATAAAATGGCTTACAGAATTCTTATTGTCTATCATTAACACACAAGTATAGACATAAAGCATCCCTATAATTGTTCTTAACATAATTTCAATCGCTGAAGAAATAATATAATAAAAGATTTAATACAGTAAGGAAATACTGGTAGAGGCAAAATAATTAATATCAACTTTAAGAGTTTCGACTTAAAAAAGTAGTAAATTTATTTTTTTAATAGCTGCAGAATTAATATAACAGTATATAAAGAAATCATATTAAAGTTCTGTAACGTTATTTAAACTTTAATGAATGACAAAAGAATTTGTAAATATGTTAAAATTAGTAAAACTATTTTAAGTTATAATTATATCTAAGCAATAATATATTGTATTGTAAATAATTTTTCTTGCTATTTAAGTTTACTGTATCTACTTTGTAAAGGCGGAAGTCATGTCTAAAAAATGCCTAATTAATTAATTAGTTTGAAGAAATTTTGAAGATAAGTTACTTTTAGAATAATTGACACTGTCTATCTGCCACTCTTAAAATTCATGTTATAAACATGAGTTTTAAAGTTTATTCGTAATAAAGCTTATTCGTAATTCGTTAATTTCCATATTGAATCCTTTGAGGTTGTGTCGGTCGTATTCTGGTCACCATCTCTGGTCTCTTGTCTCTCACAAGCCGGTCGCTTATTGGCTAACCATTTGGATTAGCCAATCATGGACCGTCTTGTGAGAGACGAGAGACGGTGACCAGAATGTGGTCCCTGGTTGTGTGTATAATGTTTCTAGAGCGAATTTAGTTATTTTCGATTTCAATTAGTTGAATTTCTTGTTATCTATGTGTTTTTAAATGGTTTGGTATTCAGCACCAAATTGTAAAAATTCACATAAGATTGTTCCGTTTTTCGCTAACAGTTCCAGGAGAGTGATTATTTAAGAGTTAATATAAGTAATAGTTTATTAATGATTATATATAGAGGAAGCATATTTATCAGAATTAAATGATAATAAGTTTTTATCGTAAATTATTGAAGAAATGCTGCCTTAAAGATTTCTGACACAAGGTGACATTTTATTGTTCGATAATGTACTCACTTTCTTAATGTACGTACAGTACATGCTTTTTCAGATTTAAAAAAGATATTTATCACAAGAACCACATATTAATATCATAAGAAATATTCACTAATTAATTATTATTCAAAAACATCTTATTTATATTTAATAAATAATAATAATAATTTAATTATTATTGTGAAGATTTTTGCTATGTGAGATTTGTAATATAATAATAAATGTTCTAATAAATATTGATTACAGAAAATTAGAAGATTATAGCAAATTATTTTTCTATTCTAGTTGATGTTTCTCTTTAGCAATAACAACAGCCATACAAGATTGCTTGAATATATTCAATAAGAAAACTTCGACTGAAATTTAGTGCATATTTTATAATTATTATTGCTTTTATAACTTCATATTTTTATACAAATAATGCTACTTGCTGCTTATACTGTCTTTCAGTGTGAACATGTTGCATTTTTTGAAGTAACAGTTTTAGTGAAATTTGAAAATACAGTATCAGGTTACTAATAGAGATTTTATTTAAATATTTTATGTTGTTAGATGAATACAAAAATCAAGTATATAAACTGCTTTAATATTTAAAACACATTCTAGAATGTTTGCAGTATGCATCATTAAAGTGATTTTAATTAACCATGTTACATTAAACCATGGTCCTCAGATCAGTACTAGTCTATAGGCTAAACAGTTGAAATTTAAGAATTTTTATATTAGTGCAATAATTATGTACACAGACATGAGAAACGTTTAAATATATGTTTTGTTTACTATTATCATAATACGTACATAAAGTGGAAGAACCCGAAAATCCTACAAATTATTATAAACTGAAAATACAATTTTATATGCTAATCAAATGACATTGCCAGATTTTAATCTAGCTACAATATGGGTAATTAATGTATTGGGTTAAAGATCTGCTGTATATAGAACAAAAGTTTTATAAAGAGCACTTCGATGTTATTTATTGTCAAATTTAAATTATAAGATCAAATCCCCGATAATACCTTTTTTCCCCCATATATATATATATATCATTGTCTACGTTGGNAAAAATTGCAAATGCTAATAACGAATAAAATCGTTGAGATACACATGATCCCCTTTATCTCCCGACCTTTAACCACCAAAATTTAATAGCATCAATCTCCCTAATAAACAAACCTCCTTGGAAAATTCAAAATTTTTGACAAAAAAGTACAGTACTACTTCACAGGATGAACAATGTCATGCCCCCACACACTAACATCCATACATACAGAAAAAAACCCGATTTTTTTTTTTTTGCATTTCGACGTTTCAAGGTGTCCTGAGCCCAAAAACCTTGGGGTCATATTTTTGACCGATTGACATACTTTCCTTCTTTTATAACGTATTTTTACTTTATTGGGTGTTATATAACAGTCAACACAACCAGAGTTTCCACTAATCAGTCTTATTTACTTACCCAGTTTAATATTATTGGTCGGTTATCAATAGTATATGGGAGTCCCAAAAGTTGATTACAATAAGCGAATTCTATTTTATACAAGTATACCATTATTTTCTGTATGATTATTTCATATGAAAAATGAATCTTAGTTTACCAATCTATTTAAACACGAGAACAATGAAGTTAATAAAGCTATAAGCAAAAGATATTCTTATAAGAATTAAAAAGATCTACCTTTGCATATCAAAAAGGATATTCTTATCACAAAGTTTGTTCATTTTCCACGTATTATTTATTGTGCTAATCGGAAAAATGTTGGCACTTTTCAATAGTGCAACTACAGGGTGGATGGAAAGTAGTTAGGTATTGAGAAATTGTTATATTTCTAAAACAACGATGATTAAAATTATTTGACAGGTATCTTATTAAATGGAAATACATACGAATGTGTATACCTTAAACTTCAATGTAGGTTTCGGTGTCATCCATCAACTTCCTCAAAAGATCGGAACGTGGATGGTGGCCAGATCTCTGTGCGTCTGCAGTCGAACTTGTGGTCATCATTAGCTTAGAATGACGATTGTTCCGGATGGATTGTGGCATGACTTTCCTTCACCGTATACCACCACTTCTTCACAGCTACCTGTGATTTACACACCTCAGAGTGCAGCAATGTGCGCTCGCTCCAGAACAGACGAGTGATTCGACCATCTTTTCTTCCACTGCGCGTGCTGCCCATGCCATCGATGTAGGAATTATAAAATTTCATTAATTGATTAATGTACATGCGCGCACAAATTTTATTATTGTATTATTATAGATTTATTGTAAATAGTTTTATATTGTATTTTTTTATTTTTTTTTTGTTTTTTGCGTATTATTCGCTTTATTTCCAGTTTATTTTTGTAACTATTTATTCAATATACGTTTCGAACAACCGTTTAATAAACATTTTAGTTACATCTTTAATTTTTTTTCTTGATCTTCTCTTATTGTAGTTCCATGTATTATTTTTTTCTGTATATATTTTGAATATAGAATATATTCAAAAAATGTAGTCAACTTTCAAATTAAAAAACTATAATCTGATAAGTCCTTTGGAGTAGAAGTATCAGTAGCTATTAAGAATGTTATATAAAACAGGACAAAAAGCAAATAATAATAAAATTTTCTTTCTTGATGACATTAGATTCTGAATGACTAACACATGTTGAAATTTTGTTCAGGATACAGATTTCAACAAAAGCCAAATAAATTTTGTTTTGTTTTTAAATTCTCGTCAACTGTCTACTATTCAAACTATATTTATATCATCATCATCATCATCAAATGCGTATCATTGTATTCAAATAACTATTTTTTAGACCAAAGTTTCTAGCTGCATCTTAGAATTCTTACCTTGTAACATTCATTGTAAAGCAAACAAGAATAAAAACCTTATAACTTACTAAAATGTATTTAATAGAAACACAGTAATTACAGTAATTTTTAAATGCATTTTTTGTTCTCTGTTTTTGATTAAAGTGATAACTAAAAATCTTATACATTGCCGTCGGATAATCCATTTAATCATAAATCCAGACGGGTCGAAAACTTCTAGCAATTTTTTGGGGGTATTCTATCCTGGATATGAAGGGCTCCATCCCTCACCACTCGTCCGCCTATTATGGGTGTGATTAAATGACTGTTAGTGCCTACTTGGCTGAGAGTAAAAAGTCATCCACACATACATAAAAACAATATCATACATTAGTTTAGCTAGTTGCTTATGAATTGTATCGAAATTGTCTTCTATATTTTAAGATTTAAATATGACACGATAAACTTTAAAGGGATAAAGGTAGTAGATGTTTTATAACATTCATATATTCATGTATTGTTTAAAGCATATAAATGTATTAATACGCTTCCCTTTTGAATATAATCAAACAATGGTCTGACTTCTTTATTCGAACACATAAAAGAGAACGCACGATTCACCTTGTTGATTTATCATTAAGCATAAGTTAATTTGAACAATACTATACATTTAATTAAGGGCAGGTTTTATTATTTTTGGATATCTACACACGAATCTTTAAAGTATAATCACAGTCTATATAAATCTTACAGAGAGAAGGCACTATCCATAAATGCTAATATAATAGATGAAGTGCACTTGCGATGTTAAAAATGAAGTAAAACAAATTTCACGTAAATGGAACGCAAGATAAATTAAGATTCAAATTAAATTCGTGACTAGGATTTTCTTCCAAATTAGCCTTGGCTAATTTCAATTCTTTTATACAAAAGACAAATTTAAAAATAATAATTAAAACAAAATTCAAGTGCTGTTATGGATTTGATGAATGGAACTGGATATGCCAAAAGGCCTCAAGTGATAGATGAGATATTCCAATACGTACATCATGTTGGGATGTACATAATGGAAGGAAATGGCAGTGTCGCTGCAACAGTTCATACCCTAAAAAAAATCAAGAAGTTAGTTCGAGTTAACCACTTTGATTCCACGTTACCAGGAAAGAAAAAAAAGACACGAAGAAATGTTTATACGTAACTTCGAGATGATAAAAAAAAATATAAAATTTTTTAAAAATTACATTCAATTTTTTAACGGAATAAGACTGTCAAAGTCTAAAATTTATTTGAATATCTAAAAACAAATTAAAAAAACATTGAAAATTCCTTAACTGATGACAGTAGTACAGTCATCAGTTAAGGAATTTGCAATGTTTTTTTTTAATTTGTTTCTATTCATTTGTTATTCACAAAGTTTCATGTTTTAATTTTATATTTTTTCCATTCCAATTTATCTTGCATAAAAAAATCGTTTAATTTCTTCATTTTTTATCTGGATTTACTGTATTCATCTGTTTAATAAAATCTGTCATAAAATATTGTAGAAATGTTCAAAACATATGGTTGGTATTTTATGGTGTGTTTCCAACTAATGAGATTATTAATCACTTAAAATAAAAATGAGAATGATTAATAAGACGTCTACGAGCTCTACGATCGTGCAAAGTTTAAACAAAAAAAAAAATAATAATTCGTAAAGATTGAAAAAACATATTTCTTTTTTTTAATTTTCCGGTAACGTGGTATATATAAGTAAATTATAGTAGTACCTCTTTTACGGGATAATATATGTAATGCCAATACCAATTATCTTTAGAGATGTGATTAGGTATCAGATGATGCTCTGGCACAAATGGGAAGAATCTTCCTCTGCCGCTACTGTCTCTAGTATCGCCAGCCAAGACGCCCATTTTTTCTAAGCACACTCCAATTTCTACATCTTCCGCTCCTCCATCATCTTTGCGACATTGATTATTGTCTAATGCTTCGACAAATCTTCTCACGGATTCTTTACTTAACACATAACCGGCACCTCCACTCATATATCCCTGTTTGACGTAAGGTCGAAATCTGCACCCAAAGTATATTGGTTCCGAAGTATTATGAGACATGAGAAAATACCTCAAGTTTTCTACTACTACGTAGGTATCGTCATCTGCCTTTAGAAACCAATCCGCATCGTCTTTATAATGCCCGTAAACATATCTGAACGCGGACTTTGTTTTCCCCCATAAAGACTCCCTTCCCTCTGAAACGTTCAACTTTATAGTAGGAAGAAGGGGATCGTACTGGCTACTCATGAACAAAAGAATATTGCATCTCTTCCCCCAAGTTGCTTTCACGTGTTTGGCTTTCTTTTCGTGATTTTCTGGACTTGTCATAACCCAACACAAGACACGAACTTTCTTGGCTATTTTCTTGGCAATAACGTCTTCCCCTATATTAAAAAAGGCGTACACATTATTCATATTATTATTTTATATAATAAATTTAACCATGTTAAAAAATTAAAACTATAATAAGTTAGAATAATCATAGAATTATTGTAAGAAAATACTCAAAGACTTTGTTGAGGATAGAAATAAGCAATTATTGTCTTTTATAAAAAGAACCCATGAGGAAATAGCAATTAAAGTAAGTTATTAAGCCCAAATTTCATAAACCATTCTTAAGAATTCTAGGAAGACAAGTATGACATTTCCTAACTTAAATGCCCATTCTTCACAAAAAATTTTACTTAAATTAAATTTCAGTGTGCCACAAAAATTATTAACATAATCAGAAACCATTTTCTTCTAAGGTCAATTACATTTTTATGACTGTAATTATTAAATACAGCATGCAATTAAAAATATTTAAAATACAATAAAGATAATTTAAGATATATCTAACTTACAATCGCGATTCTAACTTTTCTCATTCATTTTAAAACGATACTTTAGTATGAATTTTTAACTGGAGAAATAAAATATTACGCCCATTTCGAAGAAAATGATTATTTTACTGCTTAATGATGAATGTCACAATATGCTAATCGCATATGAAAGCAACAATAAATAACATTCGAAATTGTTTAAGAGTTAATTAATCATTTTACCGTAGAAAGATAAAAACAAAACTTATATACTTAATATTACGAATATTTAAAAATGTCATTAACAAAATAAGAATTTCAGACGGAAAATGCATATATCGTGTTAGATGACAGATTAGCTTGTTACAACAATAATGGAGAGTTTATATCGGAGTCTGTTAGGGATTGTATGATCTGAGGAATACAATAATCGTATAATCTGCGATTTTAAAAATGTTTTCTAGTTTATTTTGTTGTTACTTAGAATATAACTACTTTACAATGTTATAAATGCTTCTTGATGTCGATGTAAATGTATTGTTTAAGAATGGTTGCAGAAGTTACTCCGAATTCTTTAAACCAATGGTCCTAAGAATTCACAGCAGAGATAGAGGATCAAATTCAGAAACCATTTTGAAGTTCGCACTACGCAGTCTCTCTCAGTGTAAAAAAAATGCAATAAATTGCAAGCAGTTTCGGGGTTAGAATAACCAAAAGGGGGTTAAATTTTCGTAAATACAGTAGAGCATCGATTATCCGAACCCCGATTAACCGTCACATCGGTTAACCGACCGTTCTAGTTGGCAAATTCAAATGTCCGCTAGTGATGTGGCGCTACAATATTTGGCTATGTCTTGGCTACTTTAATAGTATTTTTACGTGTTTTAGCTGGCAACATGACTCGACCATGAAAGGGAGCCAGTATTTAAACGAGACTTAATTTCTAATTTTTAACGATACAATAGCGACGATTATTATTTTTAAAAAATTTTTGTTAGGCTTCGATGAAAATTCAACGCGAAGTAGGTTAATAGCGATATACTAACATACTATACTAATAATGTATTTTTTCATACTTTTCGGTTATCCGGCCAACCCCAGTCCCCAATGGAGTCGGATAATCGATGCTCTACTGTAATTTAAATAAATAAAAGGGTTGTATTTCACATTAAGTTTCCAGAAGTTAAATATTTCCATTGTCAATTGTTATTGTGAATAAATTAAATATATTCGTTATTAAAGATCTTTCACAATAATTAATATTCAAAGTTGTTGCAATACAGGCGTGCTTCATTTTATGTAAAGTATATAACGTGTTGCATCAAATAACAGTTGTATCATGAATTGCCATTTCCCATATTTTTTTTTAAAGAAAGTTTCACCTCATGGAAAGTTTTTGAGCAATGACGAATACGGTTTCATGCCGTAGCGTTCTACAGAGGATGCCCTTGTTAAATTACAGTAAGAAAGAATAGAAAAGTTTAATTAAAACACTTTCTTATCTTTATTTATTTCTACCAAAGACAAATGCGTCTTTGTTAAAAAAAACCCTGCTTCCTAAATAAAGGATGTCCTCAAGGCTCAGTATCTGGATCTCTACTCTGGAATGTTATAATAAATGACTTGCTAATTAAATTATCAGACTTTGTTCGCCGGTTATAAAATCAGCTATATCATTAAAAAATAATTATTGACGATTTACCAAATTTTCTTAAAACCCAGACATCTTTGTTCTTCGCCCGGATACCCGGACACACCGGACAGGTGGGAACACATGAAACGGGCTAAGCGTCGTATTGGTGAGATAGCTAAGTTGAATTATGATAGGGGTAGAAATATATGACTATCTTATCTACGGTTTGTTTTATCGTGAGATGATCGTAACCTGGGGTACGCCTGTATAACGCATTTAATAATAATAGTTTTTAAAATAACTTATACTAAAGTTCTGAACGACTTAATATTAAAATAATTTTGATATTTTCAATCTATTTTCATCAATTTTTTAAACTAAATATTTTTCTGCTAAATTAACTGCAACGTTTTATTATAAATTTATGCTCCTAAATAATAATATAGGACGAAACATTATTTTGAAATACAGTATATAAAACGAGTACTTTTATTGTAGTGATTTAGTTGTTAGTTATAAATCTAATATATATTTTACATCAAATGTTATCTTTATTAGGGTTCCAAAGTTTTGCCTTCTCCTTTTCTAAGCTCATGCTTATAATTTTAAAACGAAACTTATATTCAAATAAATTTTAATACATATTCTATTCAAATCTTATTACTTTTAAAATCTTAAAGTGTTAAATATCAAAAATGATTTTTATGGTTATCAAATTTCTTCATAATATATTTGAATATTAAACGAACGAAAGGAAAAAAAAAACAAATGGTAATTTCTATTTCATTCTTTATTTTATCTAATTTGAGTTTGATTAATATTGAATATTGGAAACGGAATGATACAAATAAAAGTCGAATCTGATATCATTTGCTTCGAATTGATCGTGTTTCAGTTTTAATTAATGAATGTATTAGATCATATTCTATATACACATCAACTCATAGTCAAGTCATACCAGCATATAAACTTAAACAAACTTTTAGCATCGATATTTCCACGAAAACTTCCACATGTTTATTAAACGAAAGGATTGGAAAATAATAGTCATAACACTAAAATTGTTTAATGATGTTTTCTGGACTTTAAATTTAACGTGTCATTAAAACTATCCGTGACATGATTGAGGAAGTGTTCTTGAGCAATTAAGATAGTCAGATTCATTCAGCAGTACAGTACATGAAAATATTTTAATTACCACATCACGAAATTCTATTCGAAATTAAAGAATACAATACACTCAAACCGGTTTATGACAATAAAATGCCAAAAGATATTGATAGATTAATCTTTCTTATAGATTTGTTTTACATTAAATGAGCTAAAACAGTATTTATGGTAAAATTGAGTGAGTTTGCAAGCTTTGTATATTTAAAAAATGATTTTAAATATATGTTATTAAACTTTTAGATCTGATATTTATTTTCCTAATCAAATTAAACAATTTTATTATTAGAGAATCGTGATTCACGCTTAACTAAAGACCCGAAACAGAATCGATCATAGTATTAAGAGAATAATCCACGAGGAAAGCATTAATGAATTTATTAGTTCGTAAAAAAGATTCTAGCGATAAAAAACAAGATCGAATCGTGAAGAATATAATAACCTGTTTAAAACTAAAATAGCTCCAAAATTCGGAAAGAAATTCTTTTATTTGAGAACTTAATCAGAGCAACAAGACAAACTTTAAAGCAGAAAATAATAGCGTAAAAATTCGGTTAATGAATTATCAATTTTGTATCATTTACAGAAAAGACGAATGAAGCGTATCTCATTTCCGTATAAGTCTATCGATTGATTAAACATTCTTGATTTTATTAACTTCGTTACAAGTGCGTGAACTATTTAAAATACGGCTCAACAATTTTGTCCGAAACATAATTTTTGATTTCTTTTTCCTTTTAAATAAAGTTTCCTGATTGCAAAAACGATTTAGAAAAAGCATAAGAAATTATTATCCGAGCGTAAATTAATTTAACGGTCAAAAACCTATATTTATATAAAAAGTCGATGAATTTAAAATGAAAACTTTTAACGAATAGAAAGTTTCAAAGCAAATTGATTAGTGTAATTTTATTTGATGGTTTTGAACCTTTTATTAAATTAAAATTAGACTGAAAAATTATTATTGATAATTAAATCAATTTAAACCTTTCAACTATAACAAATTAATTAAAATAATTGGAAAAAGTGCAAAATTTATGAATATTCTTACATTCAAAAATAAATGCAATTATTAAACAAGATAAAAGCAAAAAAATCTTAAAATATAAAATTTTTTCCTATATGAAAAAAATAAAAATAAAATAAAAGTACTAAGTCATAAAAAATTTTTAGATAAATTTGAAATTCTCTTAGAATTTTGATTCTGTAAAATAATGATAATAGATTTTGTATTATATTCGCCTGTCATTTTTTAATGTTCCTCGCTACATTCTCTAACTTAATTATTATATTTTCAAAGCGCATTAATGACAATTTTTAATGAGAATTTTGACAGTAATAAGGAAACACAATTCGTTTTTATAGGTTAATTCTCACGGTCGTGGAAGTTTGACCTGTCACATATCCTAAAATGCTAGATTTTAGGTTATGAACTTAGTACAAACAAACCCGTAAACAAACATGTATAAAGCTGTAATCATAGTAAGTATTGCGACATGTAAAAATAAAAAAAAAAATAATAAAATGCTCGCTGTAACACACAAAAACGTAAAGAAATAAAATAAGAATGAAGATAAAAAAAATGTCGTGCAAATGAAACTGCAAAATCACTCGAATAAATTAATAAGAAACGATACGCCAAATAAACTGGGCTAATAGAGCATACGATTCACATCATCCGCCCATCCCCTTTTATCTAAAGCAAAAAAGGCACTTTGAAAAATACTACAAAAGACTTGTAGATATACAAATAGACAAACGATAAAAATATGAAATTTAATTA